AATTCCTAGCTACGCCACTGGTTGATAAAATTGATTCAACAACTTGACTGCCACGAGACCCAAATATGGGTCTCATTAGCTTTCTCTAAAATGACATGATATTTCATATGGACTTGCCAAGATTGCCAAGGTACTTAATTTCATTAAAAAATTTCTAAAACTTTGTACTGATGTTAAGCAGATTTAAATTAAAAGTTTCTTTGGATGATATTGTTATTTTTGGGTGATACCCAATTTTTGACTTGTGGCACTGGAGATTGATTTTAAACACTTTTTTGTAAATACCTGTAAAATGAGATCCAATATTGGATTTCATTTTTTTTAATGTTATATTGTAACAATGATAATAATATTAATTAGGTAAGTTTCATTAATAGTTAACTATTTTTAAAATAAAATAATCTTTATAATTAGCTTTATAATAAAAACAAATAAAAATATTTTTTATAACTGAATAGCAACATTTTTTTTTTAAATTATAATAAAAACAGTAACTTATGTCTCATTTTATATAGTAAAAACAAAAAAAAATAATTTCCAAACCTGGATAATAAAAATACATATTAAACATTAAACATTAACCAGGATATTAAAATACATTTTTTTAAATTATAATAAGAAAAGTAACTTATGTTTAATTTTTATAGTGTAAAAACAAAACAAAATAATCTGTATAATAAAAATAAAATAAAATAATTTCTATAACTGGATAATGGAATTTTTTTAATTATAATAWTAACAGTAACTCATGTCTCATTTTTTATAGTACTTTTAATATRCTTGTGCATATTTTCTCCTCTTTTCTTCTTTCATTTTTTTGTACCACACACAACATCTACTACGTTTACACTTTTGTAGTTTATGTTTTTCAGCAGATGGAGATTTTGGGATTACAGTCTTTTTGATTAAGCTTTCAACTAATGCAGATCGGAAATATGTAATACTCATGGTACTTTTAGTAGTCATGGTAAACAAACATGCAGCAGTAACTACACCAACATTTAATAATAAGTCAATAAGAACTTTCCTATACCACTTCATAGTTCTTCGTAGTGGATTAGAAAAAGAAGCCTTTTGGTCTGACAAATCAATACAGCCTTTTCCTTTGTTGTACATAATTACTGATTCTGGTTTTTGAGATGTCTTCTTATGTTTAATTATGTTTATCATTTTATTTATTGATTTGGTACTGCACATATAAATGTCTCTCTTGTCCATCCATTACATTACTATCATTTCTCAATGAAAACTGTTGAACTTTTTTTAATTTAGAATTAATAACTCCCTTAGAGTTTGATTTTCTATTTGACCTTAATGTCCCAATACAATATGTTTTTCGTTGTCCAAGTTGTTCTGCTAATTCTATACTAGTATACCAATTGTCGATAATAAGGGTCCTTCCAAAATCTAAATATGGATCTATCAATTTCATTACAACTTTAGATGATACACTT